CAGCTTCGTGAAAAGGATCTGGGCGACAAAGCTAAAATCTATGCTTCTTTTTTGTCTTCTAATATTTAAAAAAAAAATTAAATTAAATTAAATAAAAGGCTATAAATAAATGTAATAAAACTCGTAGATTAAGTTTTACTAATGCGTGAAGACCGAGTATTTAGAAGGGTTTGTGGTTTTTCTTTGCACGAACTGAAAGCATGTATCAAAATTTTTGTGTAACGTTACTATTTAAAATCAGTCGGTGTGACATCTTCCCTGACTGATAATACTTTATTATCAAAAAATTTTATGGCATTATATACAATCTACAAAAAATTATCTGCGGTGAAATATATAAACCTACTTTAAATTCAGATTCAAAGTAAATTATTTCGGGTTCAAAAAACCCAAATTTTGGGTTCAAGTAACCAAATTTCAGGTTAAAATTTAAAATAAATCTATTTTAAATTAAAATAAATCTGTTTTAAATTTAAACTATATAAATTTGTTTTAATATTTTTTATTAAATTTTTGTAATACTTATACAGTATAGCTTTATAAAATAACTATATATATAGTTAGTTTTTTGAAAAACCTCTTGAATAAAAAGTTTAACAAATCACATAATTGTCTATAGTATAGATGTTCTACACCATATAAAATATATTTTGGAACAACGAGAGAATTTGCTTAAAACAACAATACCCCAAAAACCAATTACAAAAAGGTTTAAACATCTTAACAAGTTAATAAAAAAAAAAACCGACCATCCACTTATCAAAAATTGGGCACGAAATATTGATTCCTTCTCAAAATCACAAATTTACAACTTTTATTAATATAGTCTAGTTGAACAAATGTTTTTTTTGACATCTTCACAACCAACGGTAATGCAAGTCATTACCGAAAAATGAAAAACGCTTGAACCTTAAATTTTTTCTATTTTTACCCAATATAAATAAAAATACAATTTGATTTCTTTTGTTTTTACATAGGAAATCGCAATAAGCTGCAGCGACAGCATAAATGATACTAGTCGTTTTTTAGAGACTAAATGCATACTAATATACAATGCCACAGACTGCTTGAATCCGAAAAATCAAGTCATAGTTGCAACCCTATGCTACCGGAAGTCACTAATCCTAAAAATAAGAAAAACTACAAAACAATCAAATTTCATACATTAATCATTTCTTTATATTAATAGACCATTGACAACATGAACTAGAAGTGATATATTTTTCAGATTAGGACTTTGTGGATCTTGAGAGGCGACTTGATAATAATATTGTTCTAGTCGTTGTTTCACCATCGGTAAAAGCCTTTCACAATGTTCTCGAATTATAAGGTCCTAAAATAATACTCGTATTAAAGTCTGAGGAAATGAAATGAAATGAGCGGAAATCAAAGTGTACATTAATTTATACCTTTGGATTAAGTTTAATAACTGCCTCCTCCATCCATGCAAGTTTTAGTTCAGAATATTTATTTAATTCCAAAGAAAGGTGGTGAATAAGCGAAAGAATTACGGGCTGTGAAAGTAAAGGTCTCGCAGGTGGAAATACTGTTTTCGGACTAACATTACTGCAAAGGCGTAAAATTAAAGGTAGCTCGTGTGACGCAAGGACCTATATAAAGATAATTAAATAAAAAATAAAATAAAATCCTTATTTATGTCGAAAGAATAAATTTTAATACTAACCGTTACAAATGCATCTTCATAATTCTGAGCCTCTAATGCTCTTTCTATAACAGAGTTATTAGAATCTTCCAGGCCAGTTGTCTCTCCGGGAGAGAATAACTGTTGTTGTTGCTGATGCTGATGTTGGTGTTGCTGCTGCTGATGTTGCTGTTGTTGAGAAGATGGTCTTCCAGATGAAGAAAAGCCATATGTTTCTTGTTGAGACACAGGGGGTGGCTGGGTTGTAGCACAATTATGTGGAATCAAAATGCGTTTCAATTCACCCGAAAGTGACCGAGCTAGGTGATGTTGTAATTCGTCAGATGTACGATTTACTTGCTGCTCAACATGTCTCGGAAGATTTGATTGTGGATTAACTTGCAGATGTAATTGCTGAAGCTGTTGTACGGACAGAGTCAGATGCTCTAAAGAGGCCTGCAAACGTGCCAAAGCATTCTGATCATTAACGTTTCCCATATTTGAATATGAGGAAACTTGTGCACTCTTGTGAGCAATGTCTTGTAGACCAGCCTCAAAAGTAGTAGTTATCTGCTCAAACATAGCATTGGTAGCTTTTTGATAAGACGGAATGAGTACAGTTGTAAAATTTTCTCTGAATGTTTCTTCGATAACCGGCCTAATAGCCTTGGAGACACCTTTAGCAATTGATTCTATAACTGGAGTTTTTGCAAGAACACGCTGTACATTATCAGCTACAGATTTTTCAATAGCAGCTGGAATATTCTAAATAATTGAATATGCACAGAGTAAGTTGAAATTTTAGTATATAATTATTGTAATAGTTAGTCGAACCTTATTCACAGCATCAACCATTCCTTTATGAGCATGCTTGTCAACAGCATTAGTGACCATCTTGCTTAATGTCGGTAAAACGGAAGTTTGAACTTCGTTACGGATCGTTGATTCCAATAATTTAGTCGTATTGGTGCTGAGAGTCTGAGATACTATCTTAAGAATTGCTTCTTGGCGCGAAGTTTCTGCAGCCTGATGAGCTATGCGCTCTTCTTCAATCTTTTGAACTAAATATTCAGAAGAGTAATTTAATTAATGTGATTTATTGAACTTTTTATCCATTGATTCAAAAAAAAAAACATGCATTGTTTTTCTAATTCTTTTGAAAACATCTTTCCGAGCTTATTGGTAATATTGTCTTCAATTTTCTTTATTTCCTTCAAGATTGTCTGCATTTGAGCTGGTGATATTCCAGCGCCAGATGTTGTCGAAGATTGTCCAACCGTGGGGGGGACCTCCGGACCAGAATAAGATTTTCCGCTGGATACTTTAATGCTATCTTGAAGTATTTCTGTTGTCTTCCTGTTTTTC